CTCGTCCTTAAACCCACCGCTCCTGTAGCAATGCAGGAGCATCCCACATCGGTGAGGCTAGGGAGTCTTCTCTTCCTTATAAGGAAGTGGGAGTCTTCTCCTACCAGTGACGCGTTTTAGAAAGCAAAACCGTGAGGGGTTGTTGCCGTGCGGGGAAACCCCGGGACAGCCCAGAGCGGACAATATCACGTGGGCGGCTCCCTAGTGCAGTTACCGGTCCAACAATTTTTATTTTCAATTTGATTAATTTAGTATATTTTTTCAATGAGATAATATCTAAATGTTTCAAAACATCATTTAACCTATAAATTTGGTCAAATTCAATTTTAATTTTTGACCGATGAATTTTAAATTTTATTTTTAAAGTCATTGTTATTTGAAAAAATGAATATTTTTAGGTACTTTTAACGAAATATAAGTGACATGCTAATGAGACTGAATAATTATAACGGTTTTCAAAACTTAAATGCTTTTATATTGATTTTTAAAAGTTGAATAACTTTTATAAATGTTTTAGAATATTATGTCTTTTTAATAACACTTTTCAAAAGTAAAATGAAATAAAACGTTTTTTAAATTTTATTTATTTATTTTCTTAAAAAACTAAAATTTTCCAATCTTAGTAAAATGCTGACGTGTTAAATATTTCATAGGTGCATAAACCCTGGTTTTGTGCGTTCCAGTTTTAAATTTTTTATACAATTTTTAAATATATGATAATTATATACAAAGAAAGCTTAGACGCAATTCTTGATTTTGGTGAAACTTGAATTCTTAACTTTTAAATACATTGATATTTATCGATAACTTAGGGGTTGTTTGACAATTGTTGAACGGTTTGATGTAAAAATATTAAGTGGTCAGATTGATTAAGAGGCTTTCATGATATAGTGAAAAATAAAATATAATTGTCTGATAGTTGTTTACAATGAAATTATGACACTTAATGGTTAAGGGAGACCGAAAATATAAAATCATTCAAAAGGTTATAACTATTAAAAAACAGACTTTTTTTTGTTAAACAAGATTCAGCTCTTAACAATTTAGATGTTACTTCTTAATGAAACTATTCTAGATAAACAAACAACCTCTTAGATATTACTGGATCATCGACCCTTTGGTGAACTAAGTGGCATTTATTTGTAGTTTTATTATTCTTTTAACTTGATTGAAAAATAAGTTCAACGATGATACATTCAATTTTTTATAAAATGTTTCAAATAATGCAATAATAAATTATTTTCGAAACACACCCAACAAAAACATATAAATACAAACAAACACTTAATAGTTTTTTACACTAATTTTTTTTTCTTTTTGTGAAATATATAACATTGATGAATTCAAAATCTTATTATTAAAAAAAAGTTGGACCAAATATGTAAAAAGACGAAAAGAAGAAGGGCAGTTTAGGAAAATGAAAAAAGTATGGGGACACAAATCTGCCACCGGCACGTGCCACTCCATTAAGCTGCACATGCTTCCCGAAAAGGCCCATCAGAAGAGGCGGAACAAAATTTCAAATTTAGGTACTCCACTCACTGCCACCTATAGATTCACATTTACATATATATATATATATATAGAGAGATATATATATATATATATATATATATATTTTTCTAAATTACATATTGGTCCTCAAACAATACATTTCTTATCATCTTTGCCTATCAAAAATTTTATTCTCACATAGGGTTGGGTTTACGTGAGACTAAGGGTTTTTCGTGAGACTCGTAAGATCAATTTATGTTCATTGATCAACTTTATAAGCTAATGATTTAATGGTCTAAAGTTGCACGGTGGCAATTTTGTGATTATTGAGAAGTCTCGTGACAATTTTATGATTATAAATATTCAGATTGTAGATCTAATCTAAAGGTTGAGAATTGGTCTTACGGATCTCACGAAAAACCTTTAGTCTCACATGGTCCCAAGTCTTCTCACATATTCTATCATATTTTTTATTTATAAATATTGGCTTTGCATTATAATACCATCTTTCCTATCTCAAGTAAATTTAGGCATGTCTTAGGAGATAGTAGTTGATAACACCGCCATGGTGGAGAGAGTGACGATTGAGGGGGTAAAGAGGAGGGGCAGGCCTAGGAGAACCTAGGACGAAGAGTTGAAGATGCACATCACAATTTACGCATTTTTAAGACATGACACGTGATAAAAGGTCTTTGGAGGACTAGAATGGTTGACTTTTAGTAGAATCTCATAGAGGGTATCGACAAGGGTGTTTAAGCGAGAGGTAAAGAGTAGACAACTAGGCTATTTATGTAGGATAAGTTGGTTTGATAAAACCTGACCAAACTTTCTTACAAGGTTCTACTTCTATTACATGTTTGACCTTATTAATTTGTCTGCTTGCACACAATCGAATCATATACACACAATTAAACATTATTTTACCTGTTATATTTCATGATTACTGGGTATATTGCCTATCTTATTGTCTAGTTGCACACATCTTACATCGTGCACAAGTAGAGGGGGCAAAAACATCAGATAATCCCCAAAAAATGTTTGTTTTGAAGGACAAATAATGAGTGTTAGGATCAAATTGGAAATAAGTATATGTTATTGGTTGTTACCATTTAAGGTGTGTTTGGCAAACTCGTATAACAATGTAAGATTATCTAAAAAACTGATGTTGAATATTTGATTGAAAAAAACATAAGAGACATAATTGAGAAAACTCGAAAAAAGTTCATAAGCTCATCGTCTCATTGAAATGTACTTGAAGTAGATTTCAAAACACTAACTTATAGCTAACTAGACAATATTTTTTCAATAATCTATACTATATTATAAAACATTTGACAAAAACTATTAAAAAACTATTTCTTATGTATGAAATACTCTATATTGATGCATATTACTTAAAATTGAAGATTACAAGTAGATTGTGCGTAAGTACAACTTATTAAAGCTTCATATCTGAATTTGTGTAACTAAATGCAGATAAACATAATCAAATACATGATAAACATCTCATTTTAAATATAAAAAATCTAAAATATAATTAGGATAATCATTGAGTTCTGACAAAATACTTAATTATTTTCTTTATAAAATGTTATATTATTAAACCAAAAATAAATTTCATTATTAAACTTAAATTAAATTATAATAAAAAAATTAAAGAAATTATATAAAAAATGAGAACTTTTAAATAGTTGATTTGATATTAACATTGATATATATATATTTTAAAATTTTTATGATATTTTCAAATTTATATTTTATTCAAACATAAAATCATTATTGTTTTCTTAAAAACACATAAAATCGTATTATAACATCAATATAGACAAAGAATAAAAGAGAACATTAAAATTGAAATATATTTCGCTGAATTACACGAATACTCTTCTAGTCTTAAAAAAAAAGTAAGTTTATGATTATCAAAACATAATTCCACTATGTAAAAACCCAATTCAAGGTCGATGATAAATGATAAAAACCCGTTATGTAAATTTGAAATTGTAAGCAATTGTCTTGATTGTCAAGATTTTACGAATGATAGACCATATGTGTTGAAAAATAAAATTACACACCATTTATTATAGTTTATGGATAGTTGGAGGACCAATAATGTAAATATGTGGTTAGATAAATAGGAGTAGAGGAGGTGTAAAGATATAGGAAGTCTTTGATTCTACTGGTGTGGTTTTTTAAAAACAGGGCAGCCAGTAGCCACAGGGGCTACTCTGAAATCGTAACAAATACAACGACGTCGGTTTGAAGGAATTGGATCTTCCGTTTGAACATTCTCGAAATCGGAAAAAATGGAGAGGAACACGCCGGTGAGAAAACCTCACACTTCAACGGCAGATCTGTTGACCTGGTCGGAAAATCCTCCGGCCGATTCACCGGTGACCGGCTCTGCTGCTCGATCCTCCGCCCGTTCGCACCAGGTAAACATAGAGAAAAAGTTCGATAACAATGTTTTTCCTTTTCGATTTTTTGTTATTTGTTTTTGAAGTTCACTTTGTTTGATGAAATGAATGGCAGCCGTCGGATGGGATCAGTAAGGTAGTGTTTGGAGGTCAGGTTACTGATGAAGAAGTTGAGAGCTTGAACAAAAGGTCTGAGATCTATCTGTCGTATTCATGTTGCTTTTTTTATTTCAAGACAATGTTTAATTTACGCATTGTTTTTTAATTTATTTATTGTTTTAGTAACCAAAACAGTATTAATAAATTAATGACATGAATGGTGATATTTCAATCGTAAATTGATATTTTAATCTCAGAATTTGTGTTCCTTTATAGAACTTTTAAGTCATTGTGACAAATAATCACATTTTGATCTAAAAGAATGAAGTTGATAAACAATAATTTTGGATCTAAGAGTGAAATTGATAGAATTTTTACTTCACAATGGGGGTAAACTTCCTATTAATAAGAGGAGTTTCTAAATAGAAAATTTTCTGGCCTAACTGACTAAGATTATTTTTTTGAATTTCATTAAGAAAATATTCTTTAAATTATGGGGTTCGATGATCTGAAAGGTAAACTAATCTCGCATCTTTAACCAAATAATGCTGTGCTACCAATTTCTGGAGATGCAGATGCCCTTGTGTTTAATGAGGATCATAATTCTTAGAAAAATGAAACCAGAGTGTCTTATGTTATCAATTTCTAATTACTATTTATGATCTTGCTTGTCTTTGAATCAAGATATGCTGGGGTTGATAGAGGATAAGTTTTTTTTTTTTTTTTTGTAAAACTTTATCATCATATGTGTTCCTTCTTACCTAGGCAATGATCTAGGGTTTCTATCTTGTGTTCTCTTCCTCTAATGTGACTTTGGATGCAAGTGCATAATTGGGTTAAGGCCATCACTCCAGGTGTTAGAATCTTTATTCAAATGCAACTTTGTGCAATTATTCCAGGAAACCTGTTTCGGGGTATAAGTTAAAGGAGATCACTGGAAGTGGTATATTTGCAGCAGGTGGAGAGAATGGCTTAGAAGAGACTGATGCTGCATCTCGCACCCTATCTAATCCAACTGGAATACGGATGTACCAGGTGACCATTTGACCATTTCTGATGTGCAAATATTACCAACGATCCGATAGAAAGATGCAAGTCAACCATGAACCACTTTATTCCATCCCTTGCATATTAATTGCTTCAATTTATTATTTTGGATGATCCATAACAATTGTAACATCTCAGTTTTGTGACAAGTTTTGGGCTAAAAATTGATTTTGTTTTTTGGGGTTTACTTCAATTTGAACCCTTTGTCACTAAATACTTGTATCCATCTTCTATATGATGATCAAAAGGATGATTTAGACAAGCTTTTAGCAGTCAAACACTGGGCCAATGGTTGATTTTTTCATGGGATGGAGAGATCATGCAAATTTGTGTGATTACCATATTTTATTTTTAGTAAATATAAACATTTTATATTAATTTGGTATGTTTGATTTGGTTTAATTGAACATAATATAAGCTAATTATGGATGGAGATGTTTGCTTTCTTTAAATAAACAACTTTCTTTTTGTATTGGTTATCAGCAAGCAGTTGCTGGGATTAGTCACATTTCGTTTGGAGAAGAAGAAACAGTGTCTCCTAAGAAGTCGATTTCTGAAGCTAAGCAGAGGGAGCTAAGTGGTACATTGGATAGTGAGTCGGAAGCAAGATTGAAGAAGCAAATTTCCGATGCAAAGAACAAGGAACTGAGCGGTCATAATATATTTGCACCTCCACCTGAAATAAAACCCCGGCCAGTTGCTGCTCGTGCTTTGGCTCTCAGAGAAAGCATAAGCATCGGTGAAACATCTCCTAATAATGTACGTATATCTTTCATCTGCTCTTACATCACATAACCATATTATATATGCCCACAGAAACAACACAATTGCATGCATTACATCATTCAAAGTTAGGCCAACAAGCTTATTTTTTGAGCTTATTAAAAAAGTCCTGTTCGGTTAGTCATAATTTGGTTTTTTAGAAACAACTTCAAGTAGTGTTCCAATAAGAAGCATACAGATTTTCCCCAATTATGCTCTTTATATTTTCCAATTTTTGTCAGCAAGGAAGAACGTTGTCTTGTAGACAATCTTTGGGTCGCCAACAAGTCTTTTTAGATCATTTTACTTTGTCTTCCGGCTTATAAACTAGCTAGTTTTTGTCCTACATGACTAGTTTTTCTGGTAGCTTATAAGCTAACATCTGGTTTATTAGTCATAAACTAGTGTTTCAGCTAACAACTAGCTTGTCAAGCGTAGCATCAGAATATGGTGTGAACAGAGTCGCACAAAAAAGCCCAAACCTGAAGCCTAGCTTGGTCCGGCCTGAAAAGCCCGATGAGGTCAACTTATTTTTTCAAGGCTCAGTTAGAGCCCATTCAAGCTCTCTTTCAACCCCAAAGCTTGGCCTGCCTTGAAAATGCCCCATCTCTTTTCTCTTAGAAAACCCGGGTCTTGTGCATTTTGGTGTGAAAGTGGTTAAAACGCTTGTCGAAAGTTGCCAACGATCCCTTGTGTGTTGTGTTGGTCAGAACAAGCCTGAAGATTCTGTGATGAAGACGGCGAAGAAGATTCCGAACCAGAAACTGACAGAACTTTCCGGAAACAACATATTCAAAGGAGATGAGGCTGCAGCATCTGTAGAGAAGCCGCTTAGTTCAGCAAAGCTTCGGGAAATGAGTGGGAGCAATATCTTTGCTGACGGAAAAGCCGAGTCGAGAGACTACTTAGGCGGTGTTCGCAAACCCCCTGGCGGTGAGAGCAGCATCGCGCTGGTGTAACGTAACGTTAACATAACATAAGGCTGGGGTGTTAGAAATATCATAAAATTGAGTTTGAACATTACTATTTTAGTTAATTGTCATGAATCACAGCACAGGGTGTTGGGACTTTGGGGTGATGGTTGGTTGGTTTGTCCATATAATTATTATTAATTGCTTTGAATTTGACTTTCTTTTTTGGTTTTCATTTATTATTTCTACTCCCTCCGATCAAAGCTAGGGGTAAGCGCAAGTCGAATCTATTGGGTTGGAATTGGGTTTGGTATAAAGTAACCCGACCAACCTGATAATCCGATAAAAGATTTAGCGGCTTTTTAAAATTATTTGTATTTCTTTTTAATATGTATAAGTTATCAAAAATGACTCGGCAATAACGATCAATGAAACTTATACGAGGACATTATTGAAAAGTTGTGTGTAATAAGTAAATATTTGATGAACTTGTATATTCTCTTGAACGATTGATCATATTTCAAAGAAAGATTTTCTTCATTTTTATGTTTCCAATGTTGATTTTACCTTTTATAAACACAAGTTGACCAAACCGACCAACTCAAATGGGTTGGGTTGATATATTTCAAACCGTTAGTATTGTGTTGAGTTGTTTAAATGTCTTCAACCCTATTAACTCAAACCATGAGCACCGCTAGTAAATATTACATTTTTTAAATAACTAAATAATATTTTTACCATTAATAATAGAGAGATAAAGGGGCTGTTTGTTTGGCTCTTAACCTCTGAATCGGTCAGAGGTAAAATGTGTTTGGCAAAAAAAAAAAGCCCTCTGAATCGTTACACAGACCTCTTAACCATTTTGAGGGTGGGAGGCTACTCAACCATTCAGATTACCATTTCTTCCATCAATACCCTTCCACACCCACCAAGCAGCCGCGCCCATTCAGATCTCCCCCTGGTCGCTCCCTTTCTTCTTCCCCCTTCCATTCCTGATCGCTGCACCGCTTCTTCAATCACCTCGTCGGTGGACGGATAAATGACAGGAGAACGGCCTCCGTAACCTCCTCGGTGATACATCGAGTCGGACTTGGTCCGGCTAGGAGTGAAGGATCTGTAACCTCCTCGGTGATACATCGAGGAATGAGCTGCTTGTAAGACGATGACGACGAGGATGACGAAAAAGGACTCGACGGCTTACGATGGTGGAGAGAGGGAGAGAGAGAGACTGTATGTGTGCTCCTTCTTCTTCAAGGTGAGAATTGCAGAGGGCAGAGAGAGACAAATCCCTAAAACGATTGAAGATGATGAGTGGGAGGGACTGTGGGAGCCTGAGAGGGTTTTCTTTTAATTTTTTTTAATTTGAATTTCAAAGGGTTAAATCATTCATAGGGTTAAAATGGTTATTTTACTGTCATTCAGATAACAGTTACCAAACAACATTATTTCATTCAGCACTTAACCATTCTGACCCTCTTAACCATTATGACCTCTTAACTATTCTGCACTAAATCATTCAGCAACTGCCAAACAGCCCCAAACTTTATCTCATGACTAAAGGTAGCATAAGAAAATGGAAACTTATTTTTTAAAGTAGATACTCATTTTAAAACTAAACTAAAATATAAATATTAAACAGTAATTAATAAAAATGATAATAAAAAAAAAAACTGTTTGTTCTTGTATAATATGATAGATTCATTCATTCAGAATTCCAAAATTATTTCTATAGAATTCCAAATTAAAATAAAGAGAATGAAAACTCTCATTCACAGAGTGATTTTTTATTTTACCAAAACACCCCTTAATTTGGGACGGAGGAAAGGTGAATGTGAACAATGAATGGATGCACGTGTATAGGTATGATAATTACAACCCTTTTCGAAGGTGGTTATGATGTTTACAATACCTCATTACTAATGAATAGCACTAATTATGTGTGGTTGGATGCCTTAAAAAGGTTTGCTTTGAGTTTGAAACAAACACTATTATTATGGGAAAAAACTTTGATTACAACCGATATTAACCGGTCCTACATGGAACTTGTTTTTAAAGACATTATTTTATGGGTATTTTTTGGTTTCATTTAGCGGTTGAGGTTAGCATTGAGGGGCTGGGATCGAAACAATTACTATTATGTAGTGACATAATCAAATGAGACCCTTATATGTTATATTGTGATAATCGTAAAAACTTTATCATAAATTATTGTTTTACATAATCTTTTTTCATGAAAAGCTAGCATTTAATGTAATACTTAATATTTATTTATTTTGAAATGTGTTTATTTCATAGAAACTTTTTTATATGTATTTTTTGTCTCACCAACATGAGAAAATGTAAAATATTGTGATACAAATATATGTTAATCAATATACAAAATCATAGTTTTCGATGAAAAAAAATCATATGAAATAACATGCACTAGTTTATGTCAGTTTAAATAACGTTAATATCATGAGAAGGTATGAAATGAATGTTAAATGTGAGCAATTGAAAAATCCGAAAAGGATCTTATTGAACACGTCTATGTGAACTATGCTATAGATTATTGGATAAACTCTAATTTTGATTCTTGAGGTTTAGTGAGAGGTCTAAAAGTGAGACCTAAACTTTGGTAAGTCTACAAATTATCCTTATGATTTGTATTTTGCTTTGAAAATGGTCTTTGGTCATTAATTCCGATAATAATTATCCGCAAAAGAAAAGGTATTTTTGTCTTTTCTTCAGAGTAGGTGATAATTAAATAATAATCACAAAAATGTTAAGAACCATCAGGACAATTGGTTATTTGTTGTTCACATTGTGAAATAATGCATGTGATGATATGGATGTACAGTGTTATTTCACATTGTAAACAATATAAAACAAAAAAAGTATCAAAAATAATCAACACTGTATTTTCACATGCATTGTTTTATATATAAAACAACACATGGAAACTGATACTCATGTTTCTTAACTTTTTGTGGTTTTTATTTGATTATGCCCGTGTTTGTAATGGATCAAGCATGTTCAATTTGTATAACTTATCTGAGTTGCCCCATTAAACATTTTTAATTGTATCAAAATAGAATGTATGATTATTTATTTATGATCATATATATGCATATGTGAATAAGACAACACATAAACCACAAAAGACGAATAACCTCGAAATCATCGAACCGTAACCATCTCACCCACGCTCGTTTCTTAACCGTCAGTAGAACCGACGAGAGCCAGAAGCATGTCTTCGTAGTCTCCTCTTGTATCTTTAGCGATCGCTGAATCCAAGGAGACACTGCTCCTCTTTTGATATTCTTCTTTTATGGTTTTCATGTCGAATTCGGCTCGTGTAGCCACAACCCTTGTGAGTGCACCCTCATCCGTCCCTTGTCTGTTCATTGCAAGCCTTAGCACTTTCTCGAAGTACTTTGCAGGATTCGTTAACGACTTTATTGTCGCTCTTAACATCGCTAGGAACTCATCTTTTGGATCCGCTTTCAAATCCTATAAACATTAAATCAATTTGTAGTTGATACAAATGTGGTCAAATGGACTAGTTTTCAACTTCCAAAACAAACGATTAACTTTTTCAACCATCATATTTGTCCTTTTATTCAAATAGAAACCATCACTAAACCAAACCAACGAGCCATATATATATATATATATATACCTTGTTAATATCTTGTCCAAAATCGTTTTTGTACTGATTGAGGGTTGCATTGATCTGCGCTTTGCTTCGGGTGGTGATAATTCGGATGAAATCATCGTCGTTATAACATTTTTCGGAGATTTTATCATGGAGTAATTTGGCTTCTGTTTTTGCAAGACTCATGTCCACCTCATCCCCTTCATACCTGTAGCTTGTCACCAGAGGCCACAACAGCTACAATAATCACATTCACAACTCAACTTTGTAAGTATACTTGCATTACTTACTTACACACACACACATATATAAAGAACGTTCCAATCTTTTTGGAGGCTCTGTTACATCCAAAACTTTTGATTACATTGCATATATGAGATAATAGAGAATATATGTTAAGAACAAAAATGGAATAAACCTAAAACGATTAACAATATGAAACTAAACATAAACCATTAACGATTTGAACCTAAAACCAAACAATTAATGGTTTGAACATAAATAATTTCGGCTATACTTTTACATAGGTCGATAAAAAACCCTGAACACGTGTAAATTCGGGTCCCTAAATTATATATATATATATATATATATATATATATATATGAACAAATTCTTTGTTAACTCAATAATTATTGTTAACTTTATTAAACAATTTTAGCCCTTGATTTTTAAAATCTACGCCTGAGATCAATTATGCTATATTTGTAATCAACTAAAAATGAAGGATATCAAGACATAGGTGAACATGGACATTTTTGGGATGTCCAATATATTATTTTACATCGGTTACAAATTGATAATTGCTCATTCATTTTATAGTTCGTAGAATCATCCATGTTGAATTATGAACATTTATGAATACACACGAATATATATATGTAACTTATTAACAAATCTTAGCTCATGACTTTCACATCTGGACATACGAGAGCATTTATGAACACTTTTTTGCACCTATTAAAACTTATGAACATTAAAGTAATTTACTTTCACATGTGAACACATTAATATCTGATCAAAATGTTTCGCTTGTGAATACATGTTGACCAAATGTTAGGTGTATATAAATATTGTTTTATAAACACATTGGAACACATGTGAAAAATTATATACACCATGTGAGCATTGATGAACACTTACCTTATTGGCTTTCACATGTGAATATAGTACTTCCTAATCATATGATCTTCAATCTTCTTGTATTGTGTTCCACCCTCTTTCCACATGTTTGTATATCTCGATTATGAATATTTATATACCAAACACTAATCCATTACTACTATCGTTTAATAAACCAAACTCAGTTGTTTGGTGTGAATAATGATGTCCATTACATATATGTTGAAGATATCATAGAACATCCCATTTCTTATCAACAAATCACCAATAATTAATGTGGAGAACAAAACATATTATTTTAGCTATAATGATGGGATTGATGTTTTTATAACCGCCAATTAATGAATATGAAGTTAAGACAAAAAAGAATATTATCATTGTATCCTCAATACTAATTGCATATGGTGATAAGAGAACCTAATCTAACAAAAACTTGTGATTGGTTTAAATGGTTTGTAGAGTTATAATACATTTTTCATGGTTAGCGAATGATCTTAGCTCTCTCTCTCTCTCTCTCTCTCTCTATATATATATATATATATATATAAGGTTTAGTTCCGGTGAAGATAACAACATGTTCATTTACTTTTATTTACCTACTTTTATAATCATGACAAAAATTTTAACAATTTCATGCTTGGAAAAGTAATTAAATGAGTAACAAAGTTCTGCAAAATGACTGAAATTGAAGATAAAAGTCGATAAAGATAGTTGGAAATGATTGAAGGTAGTTGCAGGTAGATAAAATTAATCACAGATAGATGGATGTATTTGAACGTAGATGAAGTTAGATCAAAAGGTCAACTCATCGAAAGGCTTATATGTGTTTTCCATTATCCATATAACTATTATTCTTATACGATCTTATATGCGTGTGTATTTTTGCTAACCCAGGAATGTTACTTCATAAGTAAATTCATGTTTGCCAACCAATACTATAAACTAACTTATTTGTTGAGTTTATTAAATAATATATTTTGTTGACCATTAACTAGTTTATAAGCCAGCTTTTTGAAAAGTTAATTCAAGTAGCGTTTCAATTATGGTCCTTGTATTCTTCTAATATTTTAACTTGTTATTTTATATTATTTTTCATTCTCATCTTATTGGAAGGGAATGATTCTCGTATATATTCATTTTCTATTGTTTCCTTATTGTGATTGGTTTCCTTTTTCTTAATCCCTTTTGTAGCTATCTCGGAGATGTGTATATATCCCCTTAGTGTACTTTATAATGAGAGAAGTAGAAAAGGCACATATTCAATTTTTTAATGGTATCAGAGCGGGTCACGTACCGCTCGATCAAAGCCACAAAACCCTATATCACCGATCATCGTTCCATCATGGCTGATGACGAAAACAATTCAGGGTCCACAACCAATGACCAAGCTTCCAACCACAACTCACCGTATTACCTTCATCCATCAGATTACCCAAGGCAAATGCATGTGAATGATGCATTGAACGAAAACAACTATCTCCATTGGATTCAAGAGATGGAGAATTTTATGTTTGCGAAAAACAAAATAGGGTTCGCTGATGGGACTCTAAAGAAACCAGAAAAGACCGACGCTAATCACATGCCATGGTTACATTCTGATGCTATGATTTAAGGATGGCTGACTACAATCATGGAAAAGGAAATTAGGGTTAGCGTGAAGTATGCTAACACCGCTGAAGAAATCTGGAAGGATCTGCATGAATGATTTGGAAAGGAGAGCGCACTTAGAGCATACGAAAAAAAGCAACTTCTCAGGACAACCAGGCAGGATGGGGCCTCGATTTTGGCCTACTACACCAAATTAAGGGGAATCTGGGATGAAATAGGCTCAGTGTTCTCCATGCCAAGGTGTTCTTGTGCAGGTTGTGGATGTGGCGTTAGCAAGAAACTAGGAGAATTAATGGACAAGGAAAGACTATATGAATTCCTTCTTGGTCTTGACAACGACTTCTCCACAATCAGAACACAGATTCTAGCGATGAAGCCTATACCGACCTTAGGTGAGGCTTACCACCTAGTTGCGGAAGACGAACAACAAAGAGCTATGTCTACAGGAAAGAAGACTAATACCAAGACCGCTGCATTTCAAGCCTTACTATCGTAGCACCGAAACGAGAGCGATAAGTTTGAAGTAAGAGGGATACCGATTATATTCTTGGGTTATCCTCATGGGACAAAGGGCTACAAAATTTTCGATGTTAAAAATAATAAAATTGTTGTGTCAGGGGACGTAAAATTTATTGAAGAAATTTTTCCTTATGAGAAGACTACAACATTCATCGAGGATGAAGAACATGAAATGTTTGAACTACCAACAAGGTACCATGAAGTTCCTATCCATGATGAGTCGATCACAAATAAGAATAATAGTTGTGGAGAGGAGGCTATATCTTTTGGGTCAAATAATGAATATCAAGATTTGCATGACAGTGAATTGCCTATGCAAAATGGTGAAAATGGTGGGCATGAGGAACCAAGTGGATCTCACTCACATCAAGAAGAAACCGAAGACCCCAATCTTGAACCCCAAGAGCCCATAAGGGAAAGAAGAAACAGGTCTCGGCCAGCTCACCTCAACGACTACGTCGTCAACCTCCCACAAACCAGGTTTCCTCAACCAACCAGGTTTCCTCAACGGTACATCCGATAGCCAATTTCATTTCTTATAAAAAATTTACTTACTCCCACAAAGCCTTCTTACTTCAACCTATGAGCCCAAGACCTTTAACCAGGCCTTGTAGGACGCAAATTGGAGAGAAGCCATGAAGAAGGAGATACGAGCCTTAGAACAAAACGGGACTTGGACTCTTGAGGTACAAAACAGGACTTGGACCCTTGGAGAGAAGCCATGAAAAAGGAGCACACCCTTTCACTCAAAGTGGGTATACAAAATAAAATACAAACCGGACGGGAAAATTAAGAGGTACAAGGCAAGGTTGGTTGCAAAAGGGTTCACCCAAATGGTAGGTGTTGACTTCCACAATACGTTTACATCGGTGGCAAAGCTTGTCATCGTTTGCACGCTCTTGGCAGTAGCAACTAAAATAAATTGGATCATTAACCAACTAGATGTCAACAATGCGTTCCTACACAGAGATTTAAACGAGGAAATCTAAGTGAAGGTTCCACAGGGGTTCGAGAAAGGTAAAGAAAACAAAGTGTACCGTCTCATAAAGTCTCTCTATGGTCTGAGACAGGCATCGAGAAACTGGTATAAAAAATTCCCTCATCCCTACATGAGATCGGTTTCAAGCAATCACAAGCCGAGCATCCATTGCTCATTTTCAAGACCAAGAGCTCCTTCGTGGGAGCCCTTATATACCTCGATGATGTAATCATTATGGGAAATGACGCGAACAAGATTAAAGAAACGAAGGCATTCTTGGATGAAAGGTTTAGTATCAAGGACCTAGGTGCTCTAAAATACTTCTTGGACATTGAAGTAACACATACTCGAAAAGGGAATGGTCCTCAACCAAAGAAAGTATATTCTGGATATTCTTGAGGATAGCGGGATGATGGGGTGTCGGCCGAGCGCCTTCCCATTAGAGCAGAACACAAAGCTTGGGAAAAATGACGAAGAAGTCCGGGTTGATGCGAGTAAATACCGAAGACTCGTAGGGAGGCTCTTGTATTTGCAGCCAACTAGGCCCGACGTTACTTACACAGTTAATGTTTTAAGTCAATTTGTTACAGATCCTCAAGAGTATCACATGGAAGCTTCCATGAGGGTGCTAAGGTAGTTGAAGGCAACCCCATGCCAAGGAATACTACTTCCAGAAGAAGGCGGAACGAATATAGTAGCTTACACCGACTCTGATCGTTTGGATGTCCCGATACAAGAAGATCAAGGATTGGTTACTTGTTGCTTTTAGGAGAAGCGCCGATATCATGGAAATCCAAGAAGCAATCAGTAGTTTCACGCTTCTCAGCTGAAGCCAAATACCGGGTGATGGCCACCACCGTTAGTGAGGTTCTGTGGCTTCGGTGGATATTGAAAGACTTAGATGTTGAACAAAACGATCCGACACAATTATTTTGTGATAACATGGTTGTTACGCACATTGCCAACAATCCGATTTCCATGAGTAAACGAAGCACGTAAAAATGGATTGCTATTTTGTTAGAGAGCGTGTTGACTCTAAGGAGGTGGAATCGTTACATATTCACACCAAGTCTCAAATTGCGGACCTATTCACAGAGGCTTTGGGAGCTCAGCAACTACAATTATTACTTGACAAGTTGGGCATTTGTAATCTTCATGCTCCAACTTGAGGGGGAGTATTGGAAGGGAATGATTCTCGTATATATTCCTTTTCTATTGTTTCCTTATTGTGATTGGTTTCCTTTTACTTAACCCCTTTTGTAGCTATCTCGGAGATGTATATATATCCTCTTACTGTACTTTATAATGAGAGAAGTAGAAAAGGCACATATTCAATTTTTTTACATTTACTATAAGAGTTACTTTTTACCAAATATGACTAGTTTATGAGTCGTTACCGTACCTTCCTGAAGTCTCCAGTTGTGTGGGATGCGACATCTTCTTCAATGGATTTCTGATATTTAATATGATAAGCTTGCCTTGCTAGATGCAGATCCCGTGAAGACCTGGTACAAGCTATTTCAACAAGAGCTCTGTCACTTGTACTAAACTTCTTTGATGCTTCATTCGCCAAAACCGCATCACGTTCAGGCGGATCAAGTATCCAGAGCAGAACAAGCCTCTAAAATCAACACCACCACATTAATTAATACTTGGTTCCAACTGTCACTATAACATTAGTTTTGTACGACATACGTTTACAGGGTCTAACTAATTACATGCGAATGTGTTAAATGTCTTTTAGTCACATCTTTTTACAAGACATTTGTGTTAATAATACACTTTTCAAATATTGTTATATAAAAAACTAATATAATACTTTATTTCCAAATTGTTTTCAAGAACTTGTTAGGAACTCAAAAAACGTCCTATCAACTTTGTGACACTTTTATATGAGACACACAATTGTTTGGTCTCATAAAATAATATATAAAAATATTTAGACATATTTGATATTTATAGTGTGTTTTTGCCTTAGCAGAAAAAAGATTTACACATCAGGTAGGAAGTCAGTTGAAGTCGATACATAAATCTGGTCAACAGTCACCCAATGAGTGCTTTTATATATTGTGGTATTGGTATCTATCCATTGGCTCGATTAATCAAAATTAGGATTTCCAACTATATGAACAGTCCTTAGGATTTGAACCCAAAGAATGCTATAAGCCAACCCCTTAAGGTTACATATACATTTCCACTTTAATTTATAGAACCGTCCCAATTTTTTCTGAGACCATCTTATACGTATACTAAAAACTATTGATCATACAAAAGGAGTAATAAATAAATGTTTAAAACAACAAAGTGAGAACAATACTAAAAAGTCGTTTTTGATCGACAAAATTCTGAAATTGAATAGTAGCTTTTGATTTTGAAAGAAATTAGATAGGTCTACATTGAGGTGGGTTTACAGGTTGGGCTATATAAATCTGAGCCCAAAGCGCAAGTAAAATTGGGTTCCAAAATTTTGGAGGACCCTGTTCAAAAACCAAGTAAATTTGGGTCCCAAAATTTTGGCAAATTAATCAAGGGGCCGTTTACCAAATGCTTACCGGGTAAGCGCTTACTGGTAAGAGTCACCACACTCACTTACCTTATCGGGTAACATTCTCGGTCATTAAATTGTTTGATGGTAAACATCTCTTACCCGGTAACAGCTTCGGCCCCCGTAACATCTCTGAGCGGGTGCAATTTTAAAGTGGACCAAGAGCCGGCAAAGTCGCCGTTTGACCTGGGGGAAAGTCAACGTGGTTTGACTAAGGGAAAAGTCAATTGTGTCGATTTGAGAATAAAATACATTTGTTTTCAACTAGAATCAACCTTGATCTTTAAAATAAATATATGTTGCCCTGAAAACGAGATAAAAATCGACGATTTTCAAGATGAATTGGCATTGAGACGGAAAAGAAATCATGCAAAAAAGTAATAAAAGCAAAATTGGAGAAAATTTTAATGAATAATTATACATTAACTTCTGAGTTGAATATTTGTAGTCATATATTTGTTGTAATAGCAATGTAGAGCCTAAGCTAATGAATATAATGGAGCTGAAAACTAAGAGATGAATATTAAGTTTTTACTAAAAATATAGATTTCAACACCCAGCCAATTGTATTCAAGAATGTTACTCCAACCATATAAACCATGTATGTGACTTCTGTTATAAATTTGGTTTCAAAATATATAAGTGAATCCCTCAAAATTAAGCAGATGCATTAATTTTTTTCCTCATGCAATAACTGAGTAAGTGGTAGCATGGAACCTGCTCCGTCCTCAGTAAGTCCATTTTTGTCTGCCTGGTAAGCGTTAACCATGTAAGAGCCTTATTTCTCACTTACCAGGTATGATTATCCGTCTTGTTATGCCTCTTACCGGGTAAGATTCTTGGTTCTTGTCATGCCCACTCGATAAGGTAAGGTGAGACCCGATAAACCGATAAACGTTTACCCGGTAAGTGTTTAAATGTTTGGTAAACGGGACCTAAATCTAATTCTAACCTCGAAATCTCTTGTAAGTTCCTTTTCGAGTGCTTTAAGGAGATCTTGGTTGTGAGCCTGAGCATAAGCATGTCGAATAAGCTTACGTTGATCAGCATTTCTATGAGCCAAAATTGAAATGATCGCACCCTCATTTGTTCCCCATCCTTCAAACAGAACCAAGATTTGCAAATTGATTAGGAAAAAAAATGGCAGATTGATTCAATACAGACATTGTTAAATAGGGCACCTATAATCAAGACAAGTCTTTATAAATCCAAAACAATGTCTCATTATAGCTTTATTCGATTTACCTAACCTTTCTTAATTTTCATCTTAGAAATCCATTAGAATAGCAAAGTCTAATCTTCCAGTAATTTTCCACAATCGAGATCACCATCACAAACAAATTACCAGCTAATTTGTAAGAAACAAATAAGAAATAAGAACGCCAAGATGTAATCGACTGTAAAATCAGACCATACATTTGATCTATTTCCCATAAAATAACTCAAATTACGAAGACAAAATGCTTGTTTCGACGATTTCACAGTCATAGGAAAAGGAGAAATTGAAATCTTCAGATTTTGTGAAATAATGAACGTAATTCTTACAGATCAATACACGATACGAATACGATCGTCAATTAACATATGCAAATTATGAAATCAGAATCATTTCATCTCTATAGATCGATCAAAATATATAAACAAAAAAAACAATGCTAAGCAACAAACCAACACAAAACACGAGAAGGAAAGAAATCAGTCGAGATTAATTCATACATCAAAATGAAGTATACAACATTTGCAATCCGATTTTAATAATAATTTCAAAACAGAAACTGATCAAATTAAGGAGAAACCTTCAAAAGCTTTATGGAGCTCCTCAACGTCGTCGGAGACGGGAGGAACTTGTGCCGGAACAGTAATCGTCGCCATCTTGTGCAACAATATTTCGTTTTCGTTTTTTTTTCTTTTCCCACCTTGCTTTTATAGACGTAGAGATTACTATAATTGTTAGCCTTTATTCTTCTTTGAGTAAAGTTCAATTTTAGTCCCTAATGTTTATAATTTTTAACAAATATCATTTTTAATCTTTAAAAACTTGGATTTTTTCCAACTGTTTGGGTCCATCCTTCTAACGTTTGTTAACTTCTTCTGTTAAATCTAATCAAATGAAGATATTTTAGTTATTTTAAACATTTTCTTATCTTCTATTAAGAAGGGGTTGGATCTATGTTTGAGAAAAATAAGGAAATTTTTTATAATGACTATAATACTTTTCATTTAATAAGATTTAACGGAAAAAAAAGTTAATAAGAGGAGGGACTAAAACGGTTGGAAATTAATAAATATGAGGGTCCAAATCCGAGTTTTTGAAGTTTAGGGACGATATCCTTTAAAAATTATAAAGATTAGGTTTCAAAATTAAACTTTACTCTTCTTTCCTTTTTTTTTTAAAATTGAATTAAATTAAAAATAGTATTGTAAGAATTGAGTTTAATCAAAATATGAAAACTATGTTATTTGGTTGTGAAAGAAAAGTATTGTGTGATTGATGAAACAAGTAGAGGACATTTATAAAGTCGTGAAATGTGCTACCGTATCAATTTGTCGTGTGCAACTGTATATATTTGAAACTACAACAATAATACAAGTTTTCTTTGGTAGAGTTGGTTAGCATGGCTTTTCTCCCACCTCACACCCAGATTCGAATATTGTTAGTTCATTTTTTTAGTTTTAACTTTTAATTTCATATTTATTATGTTTTTGAAAAAATTGAAATAAAAGACTTGAACACAAAACCTCACATATGAAAAACAATGAACTAATGAATAGACCAATAATGGTTTTTTTAAATATCCATGTATCTGTTTCTTATAGTCAAATTGTGCCACAACTTGAAGAAATTTATAGATCTGCCTCTGGAAGATATGCCAACAATATGTAAGATATATGTTTATAAACATACCATAACCATAAAACACGGAGATTTAACATGATTCCACTATCCTTGTGCTAGTGTACATTCACCAACGGGGAGAGCAAATATATATTACCACCAGAAAAGATTACTACAAGTTTTACAAGATCCTTGGATCCAAGATCAACTAAATTTCAATAAACACCAAGAACACTCTCGATCTCACCTATACTATAAATGGGAATTTCTAGAGGGAGAAAGAGTAGAATTAGTGTAGAGTGTTGAGGAAGAAAAATGATGGATAAACAACAAAAGTGACCAAAAAAGTATTCTTTGTGTACAAAGCAAAAAATGCAAGTGATGGCAAAAGGCATGGAACTACAACCCTTTTTTTCGTCGGCTGAAAAGGCTGAAAAGACACAAGTGATCTAGGTGTTGTGATATGGATATTCACATTTGATGTTGCACAAGAAATTAGATCAGAGCTTTAAATTGCAAGACTCGTTTAATTTCCCACGCATTCTCTCGAGACGAAAGCCATTGTGATGCTCGCTCAACTCATTGGAGCTTAAGCAACATTTCACTGTTTCCTGCGACCTTCCTTGTGACTTAAGTCGGGAAGAAAGTCGCCCGTGTTCACCTTGGGCTGCGACTGATCTGGAAACATTCTTTTGTCCATATTTTGTCTTGCTCTCTTGTCTTTTTTGGTACTTAAGAGATTTTCCAGCCAACTTTCAATATATATTCCTCTATCTTGCGAAGTATATAAACACTGAAAAGTAAATAACAGAAATGGGAAATACAAAAACATAAATTTCCGAAAGTAAAGTGCGAGAATGTAAATGACAGAAAAGTAAAGTGTGAAAATGTAAATGACTACAAAGTAAATTGTGGGAATGTAAATGACAATAAAGTAAGTGCAGGAAAGTAAATAACAGAAAAGTAAATTGCAGAAATATAAAACTCAAAATGGTAAAATAAAAAGTAAAGAAACTAAAATTTGTCCAACATGTAGTCTGAACATTTAAACAATGCAAGGTCTTTTAAGTGATTAGGATCATGACCCTCAATTCCAAGCAAGGTTTATTATCAACTTTGGAACAACATCTATTCAAATACACACACACACACACACACACACACATATATATATATATATATATATATGGGCTAATCAAATGAGAACTGATTAGTTTATAGTAACTGTAAGAACCAATGTGAGCCCCTCATTTAAATAATTAATATTATATCGTAAAATAACATAAAGGGTAAATTGGTAATGTTTATAATTTTAAAACCCTACTCTTCTCCTTCATTATGAAACAGCCGTCCTCAAGCATAGGCATGCTTCTCTTCCTTTCTTTCCCCCTTCTCACGCACAACAACCACCACACCATCATTCATCATCACATGGAAAATCAATCAAACCAGGTACCAGAGTTTTTATATAAATGGGAGAACGATCATCATTGACGATGCGTTGAATAAGAGGTTGAAGATCCTTGTAAGTGACCATTGGAATCTTCGACTTGAAAGTTTCTCGATCGGTGGCTCCGTCGAGATTGTAAAGCTTGAGATACTCAGTTTTATTGTTCCGGCTTAGTATCGCCGCCAAAACATTCGCCTGAACGGTGTCAGCGCTGCTCGTCATCTTCTCGATGAACTCAAGCGCCTTCGCATCTTTTTCGAACACCGGCAAATCCACAAAAGATCTCCGTTCATCAGTCGCCATGATGATGATGGTAGATTAGCACAGGTGTCGCAGAGATGTAAACCAGATCTCGTCGGAGATGTAACTCCGAAGATGTGCCACTCCTTTTCTGTGGTACACAGTGGTACCGGTATCACAATATATCACATTGTATATCTTTGTGATTACTTGGTACCTGCCGGATTTTTGTTCACCGGAGGCCGGAGATTGGAGGTCGGAGAGATGAGAGAGGAGAGAGGAGAGAGGACTTTTTAAAAATACCTAAAATGCCCTCTAATTATAATTTTAACTCAAACTACCATAATTATTAATTTCCTAATTTATTTGTTAATTTGTGGTTGAGATTGGTTCTCACAGTTACCACAAACTAATCAGTTCTCCGTTGAATGGGCCCCTATATCTATACTATCTTATAAAGCATTTGCCTAAAATTCTTAAAAACTCTTAAACCCGTTTATCCCTATCCGATTTCATCTCATATTTGAATTCATATAACTAACTGTAGATAAACACAATCAAATACAGTATAAACATCTCATTTTAAATATAAAAAATCTAAAATATAATAAGTATAATCATTAAATTCTAACAGAATACTTAATTATTATCTTTATAAAATTTATAATATTAAACCAAAAATAAATTATTTTATTATTAAACTTAAATTAAATTATATAT